AGAGGGGGCCCAGAACCAGGGCAAGAAGGCAGAGGGGGGCCAGAACCAGGGCAAGAAGGGAGAGGGGCCCCAGAACCAGGGCAAGAAGGGAGAAGGGGCCCAGAACCAGGGCAAAAAGGCAGAGGGAACGCCCAACCAAGGCAAAAAGGCAGAGGGGGGGTCCCCCAATCAAGGCAAAAAGGCAGAGGGGGCCCAGAACCAAGGCAAAAAGGCAGACGGGGCCCAGAACCAAGGCAAAAAAGCAGAGGGGGCCCAGAATCAGGGCAAAAAGACAGATGGGGCCCAGAACCAAGGCAAAAAGGGAGAGGGGGCCCAGAACCAAGGTAAAAAGGTAGAAGGAGCCCCCAACCAGGGCAAAAAGGCAGAGGGGGGCCAGAACCAGGGCAAAAAAGTGGAGGGAACACCCAACCAGGGCAAAAAAGCAGAGGTAGTCCAGAGCCAGGGCAAAAAGGGAGAAGGAACCCCTAACCAGGGTAAAAAGGCAGAGGGGGCCCAGAACCAGGGCAAGAAGGCAGAGGGGGGCCAGAACCAGGGCAAGAAGGCAGAGGGGGGCCAGAACCAGGGCAAGAAGGCAGAGGGGACCCAGAACCAGGGCAAAAAGGGAGAGGGGGCCCAGAACCAGGGCAAAAAGGGAGAAGGGGTCCAGAATCAGGGCAAGAAGGCAGAGGGTAGCCCCAACCAGGGCAAAAAGGCAGAGGGGGGCCAGAACCAGGGGAAAAAAGTAGAGGGCACCCAGAACCAGGGGAAAAAAGTAGAGGGCGCCCAGAACCAGGGCAAAAAGGCAGAGGGGGCCCAGAACCAGGGCAAAAAGGCAGAGGGGGCCCAGAACCAGGGGAAAAAAGTAGAGGGGAGCCCCAACCAGGGAAAAAAGGCAGAGGGGGGCCAGAGCCAGGGCAAAAAGGGAGAGGGAACCCCTAACCAGGGCAAAAAGGCAGAGGGGGCCCAGAACCAGGGCAAAAAGGCAGATTCAGTTGCTAATCAAGGCACAAAAGCAGAGGTTGTTGCAAACCAAGGGAAAAAAGCAGAGAGGGCCTCCAATCAAGGCAAAAAGGCAGAGGGAACCCCAAACCAGGGCAAAAAGGATACATCTGCCAATCAGGGTAAGAAGGCAGAATCAGCTCCTGTCCAGGGCAAAAATGCAGATGTGATCCAGAGCCAGGAGGCACCAAAGCAAGGGGCTTCTGCAAAGAAGAAGTCTGGTTCAAAGAAGAAAGGAGGTGAGCCAGGTGAGTTAACTTGATTTCTTTATCAACTTGGAAGAAAAGCTATCCTTCATGGATTTCCTTTGAGGAAGCCATCTGAATTGGTCAGCAGTTGCCTCAAGACTGTGTAAAAAATGTGCCAGAACTCAGTGCGGCACAGCAGCCATCACTGTGGCTATTGAACTGACTGTGTGGTCTCAGCTCGGCAATTCCACTTCACACTGCAGTGGAACAAAGATTGGCTCCTGGTATAGTTCGAGTATAGGTCAACACACCTGTGTTCCTTCTGGGCTCAGAATGAGGCTTCTGAGACTCGAAGGCAGAGGCCCTTCTTGTGGGTATGGGCACAATTCATCAGCATGAGTTTTGAATTGGTCATAGCAAGTCATATGACTGAGCTTATGTCAAGGAGTCAGAAGTCCACTGTCTACAGTGGGAGGGACTGCAGAGTGACCTGAGAGGTGTGAGGACAAGGAGAGGTGAGGGATTATGAGCAACAGTTCCACTCAGCCCACAGTTTGGAGCAGTTCCGAGTCTTGGCAGGGCTTATTGACACATCTGTCTGCTTTCCATTGGCCTGTTCTGTGTTAACCCCTTAGCTGGTACTTGAGCATAGTTTTACTGGTTTCTTTGTTTTTAAGGAGCAACAGTATCCATACTACTCTACCCTCCTCCCCAGTTTCCCTCTTCCCTGTCCCCACCCGATTTATTTAACGGACTATATAGAACATGGATTTTCCATTGTCTTCATGGTGCACATTACTGTAGAATTTGGACCAGTGAGTCCCTCTTTTATGTTTATTGCTTGAACCAGCAGTCTTGTATTTGTATTTGTGTTTGGGTTTTTTTCCCCCTAAGGTTTTGAATGGCTATTAGATGATTTGGAGAGTTAGTTGCATTTACCTTTCAAGGTATCTTAAGGGTTCTGAAATGTCTGTGTCTGGTCCCTCGTGGCCTGTGTTTTCTGTTGGAGTTCCCTGTCTTGCCCCTTTGTGAAGCTGTATTACCTTTTCTCAAATTTACTCTTGCCCCCAACTTTTGGGGGTGGGGAAGGTACCCTGCTCCAACTTGGAGGAACCCTGCTGTGTGAGCAGCTTTGGCACCTGCTGAAGGTCTCCTGCTGAAGGTTGTAGACCAGCCTACCTGCACCCAAAGGTCAAGTGACCTCAAGCCCTTTGAAAAGCCCCAGCGTAGGCTGAAGAGAGGGCACCTGCCCTGTCTTAAGATTTGATTTGAAAAAGGAAGATGGCTGGCACGGGAGCCAGCTTGTTTTCTGGGTTTTCCCCATCAGGCTCTGTTTTCAGAACAGAGCTTCCTGGGTCCTGCAGGCATCATTACCAAGTGTAGCTTTAGGCATGAAACAGATGTGATGAGAATCTTAGAAAGGAAGACAAAATTATCCCAATTTGCAATAATGAAGAACCTTGTTTGGAAGAAAACCCAACCTATAACTTGTGTGAACTCCCATAGCAGCATTACTGAAGTGGTAGAAGAGGAAATTTGACCAGAAAAAAATAAGTATCATTGTTCAGATTAAGAACTTTGAAATATTATAGAGATAAAATGATAATTATTCCCAGATCAATTTAGTGGTTTGCTGTTTTTTAAGCAAAATTTCAGTGAGATTTCCCTCCCTTTAAGTTGACAAAGCTGCTGTGTCTAAAAGTAGCCCTTATATGTCTCAAGTTTCCATCTGGAGGGAAAAGTAGGTAAACTATTGAACAGATTTTTAAATGGCTTTTGTACAGCTAATTTCCAATGTGTGAATCCTTTTCCAAGCTACTGTTATTACAAAGTAGGACTGGGTCCACACCAGCCAGGTCAGGGGCCTCGGGTGGCCCTGTAGCCGGATCCTCCTCATTTTGAAAATGCCCCTACACTAAAAATGTTAAAAATAAGTGGAATTAAACTCTAACCTGTGGATTGCATTCCTTCTTCAGTCCTGTTTACTCACTAAATTACATTCCCTCTCTGGGACTGTTAACTCATTGAATTGTACCCCCTGTCCCCTTCTTACGATTAACTGTTAACTGTCTTTACCTGTATTCCTGGGAACTTGGACAATTGATTGTGTTACATCCCTAATAAAATTCTCTGTCTCTCTGAGTTGATAGTGGCATCAGAAACAAACATCTGCTGATTGCTGAGAAAACACCCCACTGGGAAAGTCAAACACCTTGACTCCTGTCACCTAGACTGCCTGGCACCTCCTCGGACCTGGAAATGTGAAGTCCTGACTTCCCTCACTTTCCTGCACCCCTTATAAATCCCAGCACTCCTGCCATTCAGGGAGCCGGTTGTTTTGGGGTGCTTATCCCACCGACTCCCTTGATGGCTGTTGAATAAAACTCCTTCATGTAAAGACAATTCTCGTGATTCAGAGTTTGGCTTTCTGGGCGCGAGCGAGAGACCCGGTTTGGTCGCTTACAAATTTAGGGGCTTGTCTGGGATCCCCTTTGCTCGGAGCTCAGGGGCCACCTTGGTGGGTGACAGAGCCACCGCTCAGTCCTAGCACCTGCCCGAGTTTCTTTGTCTCGGAGGACTGGGAGTTGTGCTGACTGTGCCTCCAGAGGCTGTCCCTGCTAACTTTGCATGGAGGAGTTTTGGGGTAGTGCCGGCTTCAGCCTACTCTGTCTGTCTGTCTGTCTGTCTGTCTGTCTGTCTGTCTGTCTGTCTGTCTGTCTGTCTGTCTGTCTTCTGTCTGTCTGTCTGTCTGTCTGTCTGTCTATCCAGAGTGGGTAAGTACCTGTGGCACCAATAGGCTTAGGATTGATTGTCTCTTTGGACCAGTCAAATGGGACGGCCAGGCCTGTGTTGTTAAGCTTCTACTTGGAGGGCAGAGGGGCTCTGGTTTGAGGAAGGTCCTTGGAGACAATCCCCTCTCACTGCCTGATTCCACCTACCCTCAGTCCACTCTGTTCCTTTTCCCTAGGCCCATAGCACTAGGGGAACCTTAAGTTCTGTACAGGCTGAGAGTCCTTTGGAATGCATGCTGCATTATTGAAAGTCCTTTCCTCTTAAACAAATGAGATTTCACTCTGTTGTTTCTTTTGGCTTCCCTCTTGGGACTCTGTTTTTCGAGTTTTCTTGAGTGTCATGCTTTGTTCATGTTATGTGTGTTGTGTGCTGTTTTATAATAAGTTGGTAGCAGAGAACTGTATGAAGGAGGATCCGGCTACAATCCTGAGGTGGACTTTTTCCCACCTGACAGCCTCACTGAGGGGAGGGAGCCTCATTTCAATGAGGAACTGAAAAGTTTAGGCAGTGATCTTGGGCAGTGTGTGCAAGATTTGGAAAAGTTTGTTTGGACCCTTCTATATATGTAAGGCTTGGGTGAATTAGATTTAAGGAGAAATCAACCCTAGAAAATGTTTGTGTACTAATGCTGATAAAAGTCCATCTGTTGGGAGACCACCATTGAGGTCGCCATGAGAACATTACCAAGACTGACAGGGGATCTTTGGCCACACAGCCAGCCATATGGGAACTCAAATGAAAGCACTGCCACTTGGAGCAGTGTATGTGACTAGAACACTTGAGAAGTGAATTTCTTTATTCCTTAGACTGGCTAAGTGCCTGGAAACATGGGGAAAATATTTCCCTGCATATTCTTATTTTTCTGAATTTTTATTATGTGATCACAACCAAGTTTCCCCATGTTGGTGTGTTAATGCCGTCCTAGCTACTTCCTCTTCCTCTTCCAAGAAGATCAGAACAAAGATCCTCTTTGTCTTGGGACTGAGTCTCAAGCTTTCTTATACAGAACTGCCTGGGAATTTTGTTTCCACTAAGATTCAAGATTCTGACTTAGTAATTTGGGCGGGACCAGAAATTCTGTATTTCTAACTTGCTCCCAGGAAATCCTGATGGTATTGGCCTCAGGACTACTTTTAGGAGTGGTAAAACCCCTAAATCACAGCCTGCTGCCAGTGTGGCAGAGTAGAAGGCAGAATGCCTCCATGAGCTTGGCTTCAAGCAGCTTTGCAGCTGTAGAGCTAAGCCCCAGGGGTGGATTAAGGCATTATGTGCATTTTTCTTCACAATTCAAGTGTTCCCAAATACAGACACACTGTTCAAGGCTTACTCTGAAGACCCATTCGTAAGTTGGGTGTCATTTTTCATCGGGGCCTTCTCCACTGTAAGAGTGTTCAGCCTTTTGCCACTCTGTCCCCTGCCCCGTGCTCCCACTGACGGTGTGTTTTTAGCAGTGCCACATTAGCCTTAACCATAATGAGTGAGAGGAGAGTATGAGAAGGAATCTGTGGGTGGCATGGACTGGCCCTAGGGGCTTATGGGATGGGTCTCGCACTTCTTTGCAGTTATAGCTTGTGGAGTTTAGGGTTCCACAGTTAATCTGACTCATATTTAGCATATTCAGGTTCACTCATATTTACCTGTAACTGTGTTGCTCCGTGAACAGACACAGGTGAGAAGCAGATGATGTTCTTTTGCAGAGTTCTATCTCTCTTTGCTAGAAAAGTTGCATTTAGCAGCAGCCAACCTGCCCGTGACCTCCTGCCTCCCTGTCAGGGCTGAACTTGTCTGTGTATGTACAGGGCCTGTCCTCTCCCAGCTTCTCCAGGGCCATATGCACCCAAATCAAAACTGGGCTGAACTCTGGGTAGGTTGACCCTGGGCATTTGGAAACATGGGGGCCAGAGATGAGTTATGTGTGTGTGTATTGTGCTGGTGTCATGGCAATGCTGCACAGATCTTGGAGATGCTTGGGAGTGAGTTTTGGATCATGGATACAGGGCAGGCCTAGAAAAGAGCTCATTCTCTGAATTGAGGAGAATCTAACTGAGGTGGGCAAAGGCTCCAGGGCCTGAGGGTTTTGTTTTTTTGTTTTTTTTTTTTTTAATATTATTATTTTTATTTATATACTTTCACTTCTAGAATGTTTGCTTTATTTTGTCAGGTGTAGTCCCCATAGAATTCCTACCACCAGTTAACCTGTGCACCATCGCCATAGTCCCTTTTGCTCTTCCCTCCTCATTTTGATTCCTCTCCCTCCCCCTCACCTG